CTCAACCCAGAATACCTTGTTAACTAAAAAAAAAGTTATTTAATAGATAAACGAGAATATTATAAAAGATTAGACTCATTTATTTGATTTGTTTTTATTTCTATTTATATATTTGTATTAAATAATTTGAGTTTTATGATTATGTTTTATCTAAATATATTATAATAGTTGTGTCTAATTCCAAACATATACTAAATATATTCTAGTTCCAGAGATAAGATAATTAGTTTGTGTCTAATAATACCCATCACCATTTAACCCTAATAATATTCTCTTCAAATATCTATCCTTATTATCACAGAAAAATAATCGTTTGTAAAAAAAAATTTAAAGATACTCGGTCTCACTAGACATGCATTATATCATATATATCTTACAAGAGTGTGATTAATCTACTATCAAAATTAGCATCTAATTTGCAAAAGCAAAATTAAAACCCACAAGTTTATTTTTGCATTAAAATTAAATGAAAATCTCTATCGCGTTATGCGTTAATAATGTGCTCATAAATGTACGAAAATATTTTATAATTTTGTTGGAAATTAATATATATATATATATATATATATATATATATATATATTTATATTAAAAGGAAGGTCATATATAATTGCTGTGAATATGAAACATAACTTTTTTCCTAAGAAACTATTGTTTTAGAAAAGATTGTTTGACCTTTTAATTCTGCTTTGGCATTAGTTCTCTGCATAACCTTTTTTCTGTATATAATTAGTCAATTCAAATCCATATAATTCGTTTTTCTACAAATTTATCATTATTTATCTAAAAGGAATGTCATATATAATTATTGTTTGTAGAAAAATATAAAATATATTATATTATATATATATATATATATATAGCATAAGAAGAGATCGCAGGGATCTAAGCAAGAAAGAATGTTTATATGCTGACTTTTATGAAAAGCTTGGGACAACATCTGACATGGCAGAGACCAGAGAGGAAAAACAGAATTAGAAAAACAAAATGCCTTTGAATATTAATAATAAAAAGATGTAAGAAAAGAAGAGAGGGCAGAGGACATGAATAGTTGTTGCAGAGAGCAATATCGACGTAATAATTATAATTAATAAAAGTTGTTCCGTAAAATATCTGGTGGACAAAGAGAAACCAACTGTTGTATAATTTTAGAAACGAAATTGTAATCGAATAGACATTTAATAACAATAATAATAACAAATACAACATTAATAATGATATACTGCAAATGTAGATATTTAAATACATTTCAGTTAGCTTTTGAATATTTTTTTAATCAGTGTCAATGTATTTTTTTTTATTATTCATGTAAAACACATTTGGTGTAATGGCAAAGGTTCCATCTTTGATATTCACGTTGGAGTCTAGAAGACTATAGAAAATCCGGTTTATCAATATATATTAGAATATAGTCTTTATTCTTTAAATTATTTATAAAAATTTGGTGTTTGAAACTTACAAATGTAGTCTTTGGAGTTATAGTTCAATATGATTGTAGAAATAATAAAATAAAATATTAAATAAATAAAATTCTAAAAACTGATGTTATTTTCTTTTAAAGAATAATATCTACCCAAATATTGAAACTTAAATTGTACAAAACTTTGTGAGAAATAAAATTCTAAAAACTGAGGTTATTTTCTTTAAATTATTTATAAAAATTGCTGTTTGAAACTTACAAGTATACAAAATTACTACAGGAGATTATGAGTTAAACTTAAATATGAATGTAGAAATAATAAAATAAAATATTAAATATATAAAATTCTAAAAACTAATGATATTTTCTTTTAAAGAATAATATTTACCCAAATATTTAAACTCAAATTGTACAAAACTTTGTGAGAAATATACTTTTCTAAATCAATCATGTTAGAGTAATTATTCTGTTTAAATCATAAACAATATATTTTCATACAAATGATTTAACTCTTTAAATTTCTATCTACAAAGTAAATTATATGATATGGAGAGAAAGAAATGAAAAGAAGGAGAACTCAAATCGAAATTAAGATTGGGAATTGATCACAGTGTGTGTGTGTGTGTGTGTGTGTGTGTGTTGCTCAAAGCAAAAGCCTCTCATCATTCTTCATTATTTGCACTCTATTACCCTCCCTGCCCCACCCCTCTATACGTGTCCCCCTCCTATCATTCCTCCCCTAAATCATTTTCTTATTATCGTATACATATTATGTTCTTATAAATTTATACTTTCATATACTTATATATGTATGCGTACGTGTGAGTGTTTGTATGTGTGTAACTATAGTTCAATGTGTGTATGTATATGTGTAGCAAAATGTTAAGTTGGCCATTTTGAGACTATATCCATGCAGTAGTTTGTGTACGCGGTTATATATACGATTGTAAATTTAGGGTTTAAAGTATTCAAGATTATAAAAGCAACATGATATTATAGAATTATTTGGCATGATTGTAGATATTCTGAATTATTATTTTTTTGTTACAAGTTCATAGAAATATTATTCATCATCGAGAAGATACATCCCGTTTCGAATGAATGCAAAAGAAAACGTTTTTAGGTTGTTACAGCATTTTATATGTTTTCATATTATTATTTTGTTGCGTATAGGAAAATATTAGATATATATTAACTAAATTGTCATGACGAAACGGTACAAATTTGAGTCATAAAAAATTTGGAAGTCTTGGGTTAAAAGGGGCATAACAACAAACCCCCAATTCTCAAATATAACAATGATGACGACGAAGATACATAGATTTTATATCTAAATTGTGAAAAGATAAAAGAATATATCTTAAAAACTGTTGTGATGGTGTTAAAGAACTTACAAGTTTTTCAAGCAATATAATTTTTTTAATGAAAACCGTATATGTTAATAATAAATGAGTAAATTTTAAATAAAATATTGAAATACATTTCTTTCCAATTTTACAATGAAATTGCGACGTTTTTATAACATATGGTCTTTATAATGGATTTTTAACGATTTTGCAAATGAAATTGTAATGAAAATATTTCATTGCAAACTCACAATATTTTTACAATAAAAATTTCCTTACAACATTACAATGCGAATTCACTAACACGTTTTGACCGTGGCAATAAATTAAATGTAAGGTTTTTTCCAATGGAATTTCATTCCATAATCCCCTTATTTATTGTAGTAAACGTAGAATTGGGATCGTGACCAAAACGAATCAGTCCACAAACAATGAATCATTCCATAATCCCCTTATGTACGTACGTATGTATGTACGTTCGTATGTATGTATGTACGTATGTATGTATGTGTAAGGACCAAATAGGGGATTGGTCCTTTAGGGTCAGTGACTGAGGTTAAAGGGCACTGGCAATGCTGTAAATATGCATTAAAAGGGAGGCAAATGTCACAAGTGACGTCATCAAGACAGCAACAAGCACTATCTTCTCTTTTTATATCTTCAGACACAACATCTATCTTCTCTTCTTTCGACCACTCATGTATTTACACGTGTCTTTCTGTTTTCTCTTTTTTATTTTTCCCAAATATTCACCCCTATAAATTTATTTTTGCTACCCCTATTTCTATTGTTACTCGAAACCCGAAACAAAATTTAAAAATAAAACAAAAAACCCATTTCTTTTGGTAAAAAAACATTTCAGAATAGTAATTATTAAAATTGAAAAGCAAGACGTTGAGGTGACTCGTCCTATGAGAGTTTCCATAGAATTCACACAACTAGACATATTTTTTTTTTACAGTATTACATGTTCTTTAAAAATCAGTTATATTATATTATTTTTAAATAATACTTCTGAAATTTTAATAAAATCATCATTACTTGACAGTTGTATGTGTGTATATATATATATATATTAATATTATTATCTCTTCATAGTTGTGCAACTAATATAATTAATCTAGAGTTTTAAAAATTGATAATTTATCTTAGAATATGTCAGTTTTACTATGATATGAGATGAACTATATAGAAAACAATTTTGTGATAATTTGCTTGGACCATTTTCATATCTATTTTTGAAAAAAACATATACTGTATTAATTATTAAATTTATGACAATGGTAATATTTTTTTAGTAGCCGTTGATATATTATATTGTTTTAAGATTCTATAGTTCCTCTAAATAGCTAAGATAACTCTTTCCGATATTTAACTTTTCCCACGTGAATTTCTCGTAATTGCTTCTAAATCATACAATGAACTTATTCAGTAGTTTATAATGAAAAAAATTGTAAAAATTATAAAAACCACGGAAATTTTTGCTATATTCGTATATCAATGTGGTTTAAGCAATAAGGGTCAACAACAAATATTTGGCCCAAAGGAAAAATATGGTAGAGATATTATTTTGAATTTTTGTCAAAATTTTAAATTGATTTCGCAGGATTAACGGAGAAAAACCAAAAAAATTGTTAACATGAAAGTCGACATGTCATTATCTTCTCACCGTTTTCCTCCGCATTACTTAGGAAAAATAAAGAAATTTCAATTAAAAAATCATATCAATTTATAAGATAAATTATTATTATTATTATTGAAAATCAAAATAGCTTCATATAAAAATATAGGTTTTTTTTATTTCATAGTAAATGTAATTTCTAATAAAAGTTAATTAAAACAATAAAAATTATATAAGTTCTCTTTAATTTTTAATATGAAACAAGTAATAATAATGGTGATATAAAGAAACACAGGCGTCTTTTTTTCGTTGAGGACAATTATCCTTTATTTGATCTCATCTAATTCTTATTTTTCAATTAGTTTATTAAATTTTTTGTACGGTCTTTGAATCCTCCGTATTTAGCTTTTTTTTTCTAAAAAAAATACTTTCCAAATGTTTTGCCATAAAAAAAAAAATTATTATTCTAAACTCCATCGCAAACAGACAAAAGACTTCGACTACCACACTCAGTGGCACAATCCCGTAATTTATAGTGAACAACATGTCCCTTTTTCGAGCCCATCGTCTTCCTTTTTTAATAAGACTCGCTTTTGGCCGGTGTCCATTTTTCACAGAGGAACATGAGAACGAGAGAAAAAGCAAAGCACTAGAAACCCCCCACAAAAAAAGCAGCAAAAAAAGAAGCTCCTTTTGATTTTTTACTCAGATCATTTCCAGTTTCCTGAAGGTGTAACAATGGCTGAAATAATTGGAATCCTCAAGCTCGAAGCTTGGAGCATATTGTAGAAGAAGAAGAAGGAATAAATAAATTTCGCTTCTTCGCTCCTTTTTTTCTGGGTTTTTTTAAGTTCCCTTTTTTTTGTTGACCGAGAAATGGGATTTCGGGGCATGATCGCCGGAAACTTGGACCCCGAGAGGAAACAGAGTGGCGGACTGAGAACGAAACAGGCCGGAAGAGGATCTTGCCGTGGAAGTTAGTTCCGTTCATCACTTCACTCCAATAATGTAATGTTTTACTGTTTTTTTTTTCTCGCGTCTGTGTTTCAGAGATGTTGGTTGTTCGTTCTGGCAATTTATTTGGGTTTGTCTTTTTGTGGGCAGTTTGATTTTTGCTGCTGAAAATCTTGCCTTGTCCGAGCTTGCTTCCGGGTTTACTAAAGCTCGGCCGGAGGGTTTTGTCGCCGGAGGAGCAGATTGGAGGAGAGAGAGAGAGAGAGAGGTAAGGGATGGGGGTTTTGCTCAGAGAAGCGTTGAGGACGATCTGTGTGAACAACCAGTGGTCTTATGCTGTTTTTTGGAAGATCGGCTGTCAAAATGCAAGGTAAGCTTCTGGTTTTCTTTTGTTTTCTGTTTGGTTGCTGTGAAAATGGAGGGAAAAAGTGGATAAAGACGGAAACTTTCTATTAGTTGTGGTCTTGGTTGATTCCTCTGTTTGGCTGGTGGGAAAACGGAAGATCTTCCCAGTTTCATGGAAGATTCTGTATGATTACCTCTAAAATCTGTAAAAAAAAAAGGTTTGTGACTTCAAACATAAACTCTTTAATCAAACAGCTAATTTCGTGTCTTTGGTCTGCAAACTGAAATCAGATCTGGTGAGGCCTTGAAACTTTGCAAAACGTGATAAAAGGTTAGACTTGGATACGGTTCTGAAGAGGACTGAACTCAGATCTCGAAGAGTTTCACGTGTTTAATCTGTTAGATTGTGTATAATAATTTTTCGTAAAAGTCTTTGTTCTCATGTTTCCTGGTTTCTTGGAACTATGTGTTTGGTTTGATCTCGTTTGTCCTAAAGAATCCCTGGGTTTGTATTTTGTCTCTCGACAAAAATCATATCCTATCTTTCGACTGCTATTGTTTAGACAAAAGATCCGTCTATGTTTGTTCAGGACCTTCTGGTTTTGTCTTCCTCTGCCCATCATCTTCTTCTTGTTCCTGAAATGTCCAAGAGCACAGAGACTAAATACTTTACAACATATTCCACCTAACGATGTGTATATACAGAATCAGCAAAAGATATAAACGTTTTTTGTTTTACCCTTTTTTCCGGTTTAATTGGACGAAAAAAGTTTCAAGATTGTAATTAAATCTTTATGGATGTGTTGTTGTTGTTTCTTTTTCTGCAGCTTGCTGATTTGGGAGGAGTGTTACCACGAGACGAGCCCCAGCCCGAGCTCGCTTCCTCCCAGAATTTCTGGATTCAGCTCATCCGAAATCGACACAAGTGGGAACGAAAAAGTTCCTTTCTTGACTAACCGAATGATGTTGAACAATCGGATTATTCTTGTAGGCGAAGGGTATGAATCCGTTTCCCTTTCTAGCATGGCGTAATCTTTTGCCCGAATCTTGATCGTTGCTCATTGATTCATGACACGACTGTACTTCTCTCGACGCGTTTCAGATTAGTCGGCCGAGCTGCGTTTACAGGGCACCATCAGTGGATCTTAGTGAATGGTTTCAACCGTGATCTTCATCCCCCCGAGGTATATACATGTATCTATGCGTATATCGAGCCCATATTTTTACCGAAAATCGATTTACAAGTCATTGAACCCGACACGAAAATCTTTTCTTTTCTTGTTCTTTTTTGTGGAGCATAGGTTATAAACGAGATGCTACTCCAATTCTCTGCTGGTATTCAGGTTGGATCATAGTCCTTTTCCTCTAGCATAGTTTCTGCCTTTGAAGACATGTATCCATTGAACTGATTATTGATCTGATCTTTAGCTCGTTGTAACATTTTCGCTTGCCCGATTTTTTTTTCATGCAGACGGTTGCAGTTGTTCCTGTTGTCCCTCATGGTGTCGTTCAACTCGGTTCTTCTTTCCCTGTAAGTTCTTGGCATCTAATTTCGTCGTTCTTTTAACTTTGCTTTTTTTATTTCCATCCCTTCAAAACCTCGAATTCTGACCCGTTTCTTGAATCGGAAACTGTAAACTGTCTGCTGTTCAGATCATGGAGAACTTGGGCTTCGTGAATGACGTAAAGGGTCTAATCCTGCAACTCGGATGTGTTCCGGGAGCTCTTCTGTCTGAACATTACAGGCCACAAGAATCTGCAGATCTAATGGGAGTGCCTGTGTCCCGGATATTACCGTCGCAAGCTCACAAGGTCCTCAAACCTGCGGATTTGGTTACCGGGACTAGCAAACAACGTTTCAACTCATCTGAACCGAATCTTAGAGGTGATCTAAAGGTTGAAGATCCCGGTAATCTTGTTGATGAACGAATGAGAAGTGCAAATCATGGAGGGCCACTGGAAATATGGCAAAACACGGCGGATTTTCTAGCATCTGAAGCAGTAACTTCAAACCCCGACGTGTGGCTGAACGAAAACTTTCTGTCGATGCTTAACACCGGGGTGGAGCAACAGATTCCGCCATTCCCAGGATCTCAAGAAAATGGCACCAATCAAAATGTGAAAAGGGAATGCTCGGTTACTCAAGCATTTTTTGGTGATCTCAGTTCCAAGATCTCAGCAGGA